GCGCCGTGGAGCGGAAACTCGGTCTTTCCGCCCACGATCCACAAGAAGAGCGTCTTACCGTCAGGACGAACGGCAACAGCGCCGTGGAGCGGAAACTCGGTCTTTCCGCCCACGATCTACAAGAAGAGCGTCTTACCGTCTGGACGAACATCGACAGCACCGTGGAGCGGAAACTCGGACTTTCCGCCCACGGCACATAAGCAACGCGATTTCCAGATGCAACGAGCAACGGGGTAGACTGGAGACTCGGCCTCGCCAGCTACCCATCGCCTTTAGAACTGGCCAGGCAACACTTACCGCGCAGACCTTGAGACCATTTACGGCAATGTCTCCCACAGCTGTTGTCAAGGTAGAATCGGGAGGACGCCTACATCTTGTACGCGCTTTAATCGATGTGTGCGCGCCAATGTCCGTGATATCCGCCGATTTGGTGCGGGAATTAGGACTGGAGGAGATTGGTCTCGGGAACCACCAAAGCTGCATGATCCGGCTGCGAGGGAAGTATGGGCAAACTACGAGGGTGTCAGTACACGCAACAGTAGTGGCGAATTACGTGCGGATGAGCCCTACCGCCAGCGTCGACCGCTCGATAGCCGCAACCTATACCAACATTCGTTTGGCAGACCCCAACTTTTTCGCCTCAACTCCGATTCGCTTGGTGCTGGGAGCAGATGTTTACCCGGAGATCCTACTGCCGGGCACCCTCCCTACCTCCTTCGGCCCTCTCGTGGCACAAAACAGCATTTTCGGCTGGCTACTGTCGGGGGCTTGCCGATCCTGAATCAAAATTTACTCACCTTTTTGAACGAAAAAAAAAAAAATATATATATATATATATAAACAATTTTATCATCGATTATGAATTACCGACTGCAATATACATTTTTTTCTTGAATTTTGAATAAAAATACATTTGTGCACTGAAATGTCAAGCCATGTCCTGTTTATTTAATTTCTTATCTCCCACAGGCTGAAAAATCCGAAACGAGCATCAATGGTGATAACTACGTTTCCAGCTCTACGAAAATCAACATTTATTTTTTCAATTCCTTTAATTATTCGTAAGAGTGGTGGCTGACTTGATTTACTGCTGTTGCATATAGCAAGGAGGGCCGGCATGTTTAGGCCTAAAGGCTAAACCAAATACTTAAAAGGGTGAACCACCCTAACGTTGAATTTTATAAATGTGCAACGGATGCACATATACATAGACAGCCTGATTAAGGCGAAGCCGTTAGCATGTACAAATATTAGTTTACCGCTTGAATATCAAACTTCGTTAAGTTTCCCCTCCAAACAGTTTGCTGCTTGGAGGTCCAACTTAACTTCGCAAGAATTAGCGCGGGCACTTCTAGCGAGAACTCAAGGATCAACGGACGTCTGCCAGCCATCACTCCTGCGCACTTATCAAGGTAACATTGTAACCTAGCTTTAACCTTAGTACATATATATTGAATAAACCGCCACATACCAATTTATATGAAGTATACTAAAACTTGGCCTTTTTATTTTTTCCTGTTTTTCAAATAAAAACACTGGTGATTTATTGGAGTTGCCAAACCACATAATCGCCACGGTTTTTCCAGATCTAAAAAAAATTGAACTTATTTTGCTTTGATCTTTTCTAAATAAAAGCTAGCTTTATTGTTAATAGTTCTATTGTAATTTTTAGTCAGACTTCATTATTAGACTTCATTCCAACATAACTGAAAACTGTGTAAAAGAAAACCGGTTTATACGAATCCGAGGTCTGTTAGCCTCCATAACGCCAGGTGTGAGGTCATTTCAAGGTCTAGTAGGAAAAAATTAATTGAATAAACCTGAAAATTCAATACAATTCTTCTGAATTTGACTTTGAGATGACCTTGGTATGACCTCATTTGGATTCAGCGACAACAAAAACCTATGTATATGAATTTTTATTTCTAGTGAATGCATTTTTCTCCTATTTGAACCTCAATAATTCTCCTTTCTGTGTTGTCGGAAGAGGGGTGCGGAAGTATTTTTGCGCACAACTTCTTTTTGCGTAGGTACCCTGCAGCCGCGCTTAGGGATGACAACCCTTATCCATATGCACACTTTCGTTAGAAAACCGAAATAATAGAATGGCTCTTCGACCACGCGGTCGCTGTTATTCGCAATTTGTCTAATTTCAAAACAAACTGTGCAAATAATATTTTACAGCAACCGTATTTTTCTTTGTAAAACTAATTAAATAAATAAGCTAATAAATAAACTGTTAAACTGCGTAATAAAAATTCCTTTCCTATAAAAACTATGTTTCTCTTACATGTATCATTGGCTACACTATACAAATATTTCAATGCGAGTGACTGAATTTCATTTTGTTCTGCTCCACTCACGTTTGAGAAAAAGTTGAGAATTCAACATTTCTCAATTTGAAAATAAGGGAAAATTCCATATTAAAAAAGTGCCATTTAGTTTGAAAACGCTATCAGTGGTTATTTGAGCCGCATTTGAGAACTAACGCAAACGTCAAGCTGTGAAGCTGTGTTTTTCTGTGATCTGTTTAAATTTTGTGGCTTATAAAGCTGTTTACGCTTATTAAAGTAAAAAATTAAAAAAAGTGTTAATAAACTTCTGGTGCACAATTTAAAGATAAGTAAAACATCAAAATTTCCTGTAAATTTGATTAATTTAACTTGATATTCTTAATTGCATGTGCCGAGTATTTTGTTTCATATAATATATTGTTGTTGTACAATTGTTTTTGTTTGTGCACATTGATTTTGCTCTTTTTGTCATTTCTGCTGTTTCATCTTTGTCACAGCTGTTTGCGTTGTGTTTATTAGGTGTCAAATATACAGTGCATTTAAAACTGTTCGCTACATAGCTTTTCAATTGATATTTACCAGCTGATTGGTGCACTGATTAATACATCGTTTTCAAAACTGTTTTTGCTTTTTTTGCTTCTAAAACCTAAAAATAAATATAATTTTAAACATGTCGTGTATTTACACCAATTGCAACGTTAAAAGCGTCTCTTATGTGTCATGCTGGCTCTGCGATGGGTTTGCCCATATAAAATGTGCTGATTTGAGCGGTAGAGTATTAGACGCTATTAACGAGGGTAAGGGTCTTCGTTAGTCTTGTCAAAAATGTAGATCAACCGAAGTTGATTTATTTAAATTCTTTAGGCAGTCCAGAAATGGGTTTTCTTAGATCGGGAAGGATCTGTCGGTGCTTGTTGAGAAATTTAAGCATTACGAAAAAATATTTAGGTCTTTCACTTGTCTCGACAACCCTGCGCACTCTGAGGATAGCCGAGAAAACAAAGGTGGGCGTGTTATTAGTCCACCTGAGAAGACAGCCACGGATTGTAGTAAAAAAAATCCTCCATCCCAGTCCTTGGAACTTATTAATTTATCTTCTCCATGCCCTCAGGCATTGGAGCCTCCGATATCTAAAGCCATATCCACTAGGTCTACTTCTAAAAATAATCAAACCGTTGATTTAACAGTGTTGCTATCAACATCTCAAGCTCCACTGTCTAACTTAGTTCCTCCGAATAATTCGGAGCCCCGCACATCAGACATCATTAACAAAAAGTTGGTTGCAATTCCTCCGAGAAGATCAATCTTTGTCTCTAGATTTGCTAAAGATACTTCTTCGGATGATATAAAGTCATACATATCGACTAAAATTAGAACTAAAGATGTATTTATTCGTAAATTTAATTTTAAATACGATCGCGATATTTCATCTTTTAAAATTGATGTAGCTTCCGAAGATTTTGATTCACTAATAAATAGTTCATTTTGGCCGGCCGGGGCGTTTGTTCGCGAGTTTGAGTATAAACCTAATAAAAGTAATAACGTAGCTAAAATTTCTAATCTTAATTCGGATTCAAAAAACTAACTCGCAAGTCTAATTTAAGTATTTACTATCAAAACGTTAGAGGTTTGAATACCAAATTAACTGACTTATATTTAAAAGGTTTTGACTGCAATTATAATATTATTTCCTTGACCGAAACATGGCTCAAACCTCATATTTTTAATTCCGAAATTCTTCCAAATGAATATCAAATATACAGGAGCGACCGCGAGGGCAGAATCGGCGGTGGTGTTCTTTTTGCGGTGCATTCATCGATACCATCCGAGGAAGGTAGTCTTCCTGTCATTGAATATACCGAATTTAAATGTACACGTGTACAGGCTGGAAAGACTTATATTTATTTAGCTCTTTGCTACATCCCTCCGAATTCTGCCGTATCAGTATATATGCAGCTAGTTTCTTTACTTGAGACCGTAAATGCAATGCATATGGCCTCCGATTCTATGATTGTTTTGGACGATTTAAATCTGCCACACATTTCATGGAACATCATTGACACCGATGTTGTACCAGTTTCATCTAGAGATAGTTACAATGTATTTCTGGAGGAAATGGCTGAACTTTGCCTCAAACAAATAAATATATGTCGAAATAAGTTTGGAAAGGCCTTGGATCTCGTTTACGTTGATGATGTTCCGAAGGCCTCTATTAATCGGTGTGATCCCCTAGTTTTGCCGGAAGATGCATACCATCCTGCTCTTGAGTTAAGCAACGAAATCATAAATGAAATACATAATAATAAGTCAAGTTCAAGATATGTTTTTGCGATATGTTTTTGCGAAAGCAAATTTCAGGAAAATTAACAAAGAACTTTCAAAGTTATCTTGGCCAATATATAGAGATGACGTGGAGCGTAGCGTTGAGCACTTTAATGATACTGTTTTCAATTTGTTTCGAAAGTATGTTCCAATACGTAATATTGTTCATGAAGAACCAATACAATTATGGTTCACTCAAGGCACATTAATACAGGTAGAAGCCAAAATGACGTTGCTCTCATGAGAACCAAACCTTTAAACTTCAACTTCTTTTTCTTTTATTTCCTATATTTCGTTACGCTTTGAATTTCATATCGTTGTTTTTTTTTA